TGATACGAGAAGCCCCAAATTGATTCCTGCACATCTTTTGAAACCTCCAACACATCTCATATTCTGGCTGTTTCCTTTCTTTCCTAGTAAGTATTTCGTCGACGCCTGACAGATCTCAGACATCCTTACCAACCTTTTATTGATCAAGAACCTCCATCACACATCTCTAACAGACTCTAAGATATAAAAAAACTAAATATTCTGCACATCCCTAATAAGTTTTATAGATATCTGACAGCGCCTACACATTTCTAACAGCCTTCAGCACATGACAGACATCCTTCATCACACATTCCTCGTATGTTATCGCATCCTCTACGCTTCTACAACCTCACACACATACCTCACATTATATACACATTCCTAACAGCCTCACACATTCCAGTCTGACAGCCAACCAACGCTTCCAGAGACAAACAGACAGACATACATTTATTACCTCTAAAAACCTCTACACATCCCTCATCTCCCTCCTCCCCCCACCCCCCACCTTCTCCCCCTCCCTTCTCCCCCCACCTGTCAGATGGGGTAGTGTCAGTGAAGGGGAGAAAGCACCAGTCAGGGGCAATAAGTTCTGCCAACCATACATTCTGTACCTTGCTTTCTCTTGGCGTGGAGGTGAAAGTGTGTTCAACTTTCGACCCCTGAAAAACACACACACACACACACACACACACATTATCCAGACTCCAGATTCTCAGAAAATGCGTAAGATGAATAATTATTCCTCCTAACCTAACCTAACCTAACCTAACAACCTAACTTCCTTATATAGATACGGTTTATTTTTCCACTGCCAATCCGATACGGAGACAACATTGATATGCTTATTACTTCCCAATTTATACTGTTCTCTAATTGGCACTCCAGTAAGTGAACATACTATATAATTAAGGTAGAGTTTTAGTATAAGTTTAATTTTTATCTATTTTTACTTATGTATTTATTTATTTATTTTTTACTTATTTTTATTTTATTTTTTCTTCATTTAGTATTGTCAGTTCCGAGGAATGTTTTGTCATACGAACCGTAAAGAATCCAACCCCTGTGGCTGTTCTGGTGTGATCCTGTTATCGTTAGTAATCAAGGGGCCCAAATCAAGATAACTGATCAAATGGGCCCCAGTTCTAATGGGACCCAGTTCAAGTTCGCTCCAATATAATCAGTTTAAATCAGTTAAAGAAAAATGAGGAGATTTCTTAAAGATTATGAAACATCACATCATCTCCCTCCTCCTTCACCCCAGCTTATTTCACCTGATGATTAGACACCCCAGCTCTATATGTGTGGGTTAACTTAGGTTCGGTTACATTAGGTTCAGTTTGGTTAGATTGGGTTAGGTTAGGTTTGATTACGTTAAGTTAGATTAGGTTTAATTACAGTAGATTAAGTTAGGTTATGTTTGGATCGATTGGATTAGGTTAGGGAAGGAATGGTTATATTGTGTTAGATTGGGAATAAAAGATTACATTACATTACTGTAGGTCATATTTACATACGTTAGAGGGTAAACCAGATACCAAATTCCTTTAGACAGAATCGACAACTCAACGAGACTTCACTATACATTACACCACTACTACACCATGTCATGTTGAAATCTAATAACACTCAGTTACAACTCAATTCATACAATTCTTACTATTATCTACAAACAACTATGTCACGGGGGCGCAATAACCTGTGTCAAGTTACTGTCACCAAAACTCTCTCTCTCAGTAAATTAAACGTGGTTAGTGTTTGTGTTTCGTTCGTCAATACAGAGATTGTGTGTTTGAGTCGCTCTTTTTTTTTTAAGCATCTCATAATGTAAAGGTTTTGAACCCCTAGATTTATTTCACCTGATGATTAAAGACCTCGTTGATAACATAATATAGCATAAATTAACATAACATAACCTTTCCTAATCAAATCAAACCTTACTTAACATAACATTAATTAACATAACATTACATACATAACATAACATACATGACATAACATACATGACATAACATACATGACATACATAACATAACATAACATACATAACATTTCCTAACCCAACTCAACCCAACCCAACCTAACCTAACCTAACCTAACCTAATTAGCACACAAAATCAGTTAACAAAGGCTTAGTTATGTATCTTAATTATATCTACTGACTGGTAATAAGTATCTAATTAAGTTTATATCAGATAATAAGTGTGATAATCTTTTTAGCTGTTATGTTCTTATCAGTATTTATCTGTTTCATCCCTTCTGTCAATATAACAGAAGGGTAAAACAGTAAGAGACGGAGGTAGTGTTATCAAGAGAGTCCTGTCACTGTTGTATGAAGGTCGTATTTCCGGTCACTGACAGACAGACAGACAGAGAGACAGATGTCACTTGGTAACTATACTGTTAAGCAACACGATATCCTCCGTGTTTGTGGGGGAGGGGGGTCATGTAGGGGAAATATATGGGGGAGAGGGGTCATGTAGGGGAAATATATGGGGGAGAGGGGTCATGTAGGGGTGGTATGTGGGGAGGGGGGTCATTTTAGGCATAGGTATGAGTTATATTAGGTTGAAATTACAAAGCTTCACTCAGGAACAACAAATCCTATCCAGTATCTATTTTGGGATTTCTTATATACGTATTCATATTCAAAAGTACGTCTATAAATATAAATACACGTGATAATAAAAAAACCTATATTATGAAATAAAAACTTCATTAATGTATATTATTTCACGTGGATATAGGAAAGGGATTATATTTCCTCAACACCACGTGATATGTTTACATCCAGGATCACGTGTATGGTTGGTGACGCCAGCGAGTGTTTGGTTTCACACACACACACACGCGCGCGCGCTACTGCTGTACTCGTGGTCTTGAAAATAATATCATGCTACCATTAAGCCCCTGTAATGGCCTCTTGATGTTGACGTGAAGTAAGTAACAAATTGATATAAACAGGTATTAATTTTTTATATATATATACAGAATAGTTTCATTATCAGAAATCTACGTGCTTAATGCATATACAACCCGCTGACTGATAAAAGCGCGGTAACGAATATCTACAGCGGTAACTGTACAGATTAATAATAACAGTAATAATACAGTTTTATTACCTCACATTTATTATATACACTGTCTTTTACAACCTGGCTCACCAAGAGAAGTTTCCGAGTGTAGTAATAACAGTATTATGTTGACAGAGGTTATATATTACATGTTTCATTGCCTGGTTTTATGTCTAGTATGTCTTGTCGGTGTTATTAGTATCACTGATAAATCGTATATTTATCAAAGCTATGGTTTCCCGTATAGATATATCTACTGATGAATTATAATTATTATATGTTTTATACCTGGTCTTACTAAAAGATATTTCTACCTTCACAGGCAGTAAAAAATGGACGGCGCCAAGAACAAGCATCCTGCTTCTCCCGCCAGAGTTTGTTGACAAACAGTGTAGGCTCGCACGCTAGCCTCCAGGGGCGGGAGACTCGTTCATCAAGATGTGTATGAAAGTTCACCGAATCTTCTTTTTCTCATATTTGTTGGTTTACAGTGATGGTAACAGTGATTATTAGTGTAACTATAATTTATTCATTAAACGAAGTGATGCATTCGTTATGCTACAAAAATCAGTGAATACAGCAAAGAAAAAGAATCAGTAAATGCAGTGTTGGTGGCCCTAACACACAGATCATTGGATAAACTTAAAACTACGGTAATACAACTAAGAACAATGTTAAAAAACCACTGACTTTATGCGGAAAAAAATATAATAAAAAAAATGACTTGCGCAAACTTTAACTTCCATTGAAAAATTTTTAAAGGAAACAAAAAGTCGCTCGATATTGATTGCGTTGATAGAGGAAAAAATATAGAAAATATCTAAACTAAAACCAGGACTTCAAGATGTGTATGTTATGCAAGTCAGCCATAGAAAAGAGTGGGTGTTATGATGCACAGAATATGAAGCAGCAGGACTATGGAATTATGGGTAAGAGTGACATTAAACCATGAAGAGGAGAAAATAAACGATTGTGGATTAATTAAGTGATAGTGATGGCGTTGACGGTTGTTAGGTTTGATGATGGGAACCGCCGTCATTAATAGCTTAAATTAAACAAAAAACTCAAAAGAAATTGATGTGAAATAACCAAAAAACAAAACACTAACGCCAGGAATAATAATATCACAAAAACAGTATATTACGTAACCATAGCAACTAAACCATAGAAAACGACGGAAAGCGAACACCAAAGAAAACGGGAAATTAGACGAAAATGAGTAAATAAAGGAAAACATAATTAACGGAAAGGCATAGAGTTACCACACACCGCTTGAGATCATTTTTGTGTAAATATCGTAAGATTAAACTCACCAGATTCAATATTGGTTTTACGTGTTGTGTGTTGTATGATTTTAAGACCTAGTGAACGGTGCTTGATAATCCTAGCAGTTGAAGCCTCGATAACTAAGACCTAGTGAACGGTGCTTGATAATCCTAGCAGTTGAAGCCTCGATAACTAAGACCTAGTGAACGGTGCTTGATAATCCTAGCAGTTGAAGCCTCGATAACTAAGACCTAGTGAATGGTGCTTGATAACCTTAGCAGTTGAAGCACCAAATGCTAATGCCAAAACAACAATTTAACAGGCACGGGGTTGTAATTACCTAGTAAGTGTTAAGACGGGTGACTATTACCAACTACCAAACAACAACTAAGAAGAACGTCTTGTTGCCGTAACTACTACAACCATCGTGATCATCTGAGACGTCGTGAACAACCACCACTACTACCACCATCGCTACGACGACTATTACTACCTCTCCAACTACCATCATCACTACCGAAACGACGACCTTCCTCCTCGCCAACTTCCATAACCACCATCTCAACCGCAACAACCATCACTTTCACACAACACCACCACCAACGACCCTCACAACCGCAGACTACGATAACCACCATTTCTATAACCCACAGTAAACCCCCACCCCCCTTAACCACCATGTCGAGCGGTTCCTTGGACGGCATGAACCGGGTGGGTGTGGGCGTGGGTATGGGCGGGAGTGTGGGCGTCAGGTTGAGGAAGTCTTCAGTGCCCATCGTGTCGCCTCAGTCGCTGGAGATCCCTACCGGACCTCTGACACAAAGGTCCTTATCACGCAGCAGCTCCCCGGCCAGGTGAGGGAGAGAGAGAGAGAGTGAGTGAGGTAGGAGGGAGAGAGAGGGTGGAAGGAGAGAGAGAGAGAGCAGTAGTAGAGAGTGGAGAGACAGAGAGAGGGGTAGTAGAGAGTGGAGAGAGAGAGTGAGGTAGTAGAGAGTGGAAAGAGAGAGTGAGGTAGTAGAGAGGGAGAGTTTTAGAGGAGAAAGAGAGAGAGAGCGCGGTAGTAGAGAGTGGAAGGACAGAGAGAGAGGGGGGGTCTTAGAAGTAGAGAGGGTATGTGATAAAAGGAGAGAGAGTACTGTATGTGTGTGTGTGGAAGGAGAGAGAGTACTGTATGTGTGTGTGGAAGGAGAGAGAGAGTACTGTATGTGTGTGTGGAAGGAGAGAGAGAGTACTGTATGTGTGTGTGTGGGAAGGAGAGAGAGAGTTGTATGTGTGTGTGGGAAGGAGAGAGAGAGTACTGTATGTGTGTGTGGGAAGGAGAGAGAGTACGTGTGTGTGGAAGGAGAGAGATGTATGTGTGTGGAAGGAGAGAGAGTACTACTGTATGTGTGTGTGGAAGAAGAGAGAGAGTACTGTATGTGTGTGTGGGAAGGAGAGAGACTGTATGTGTGTGTGTGTGTGTGGAAGGAGAGAGAGTAATGTGTGTGTACATGTGTGTGTGAAGGAGAGAGAGTACTGTGTGTGTGTGGAAGGAGAGAGTACTGTATGTGTGTGTGGAAGGAGAGAGAGAGTACTGTATGTGTGTGTGGAAGGAGAGAGCGAGTACTGTATGTGTGTGTGGAAGGAGAGAGAGTACTGTATGTGTGTGTGGAAGAAGAGAGAGTACTGTATGTGTGTGGAAGGAGAGAGAGAGAGAGGTTTAGTGATCACAAAATATAAATGTGTATTATTATTTTTAATCTTTATTTTATTTATATGTTTGAGTCGATACATTATTTTATTATTATTACACCAATATTTGTTATGCCAGGGGTTGATAATGACACTGGTAACACTGTCTTAGAGGTTAATAGTAACACTGTCTTAGAGGTTAATAGTAACACTGGGTTATGGTAACACTGTCTTAGGGGTTAATAGTAACACTGTCTTATAGGTTAATAGTAACACTGGGTTATGGTAACACTGTCTTAGAGGTTAATAGTAACACCGGGTTATGGTAACACTGTCTTAGAGGTTAATAGTAACACACCGGGTTATGGTAACACTCTTCCATCACCAACATAAATCAACCATTTTTTTTTCTTTGTTTACCTTCCTTTAAGAGACCTTACGTTAAGAGAGCGTCACGTGGGCACTATAGCACCGGCAATAAACACGCGACATAACTCATTTTACCACTGGAACCAAACCAAGACACTCTGAATGCCTTTGGACACTTGGACGATAAAACTGTTACCTCTTACAACTCTTGCTTTGTATTGTATTAAATATATAAAGACCGTGTTAAAACATGAGGAAAGACGCTTGTGGACTTAGTTTCTGGTTGGTGGCGAGAAGGAAGAAAATAGAGAAAGATTAACTGGAATACGAGTCCCTGATTAAGGATTTTTTTTGTATTTTGAGGATGAATTTATTTATTTTTTTATTGTTAGTATACAAGTGGCCCGTGTGACGCCGTCTTTACTGACTTTACTGAACCTTACCTTACTGAACCTTACCTTACTGAACCTTACCTTACTAAACCTTACCTTACTGAACCTTACCTTACTAAACCTTACCTTACCTTACTGAACCTACTGTACCTTCCGTAACTCTCCACCTCCCCCCCCCCCATCTCTACCTGGCCATTTTCCTTACCTGGGAGCGTTACTCTCTCTCTTAGCTTCCTCCCTCCCTCCCTCTCTCTAGCCTCCCTCCCTCCCTCCTCCCTCCCTCCTTCCCTCCCTCCCTCTCTCTCTTAGCCTCCCTCCCTCCCTCCCTCCTTGCGTGTGAGCACTACACCTTCCCACGGTTCGTCCACCTCTCTCATCAGTCACCACACGTCTTCAGTATAACCACACCTCTCTCTACACAGTAACCTTCACCACATCTACTCGTCCTTCGCCAGACGGAGGTTCTCCAACGTGAGTGACGATCTGCCCAACAACAGCACACGAACACCCAACATGTCTTCCTCATCCTTCGCCAGACGGAGGTTCTCCAGCGTGATGGACTATCGGCTCAACTCCTCACTAAAACCCAACATGTCTCCCTCATCCTTCGCCAGACGGAGGTTCTCCAACGTGAGCGACGTGGTGACGAGGAAGATCTCCACGACTATCGGCTGGCGGAGCGTCAACGTGGAAGCGGTGGTGACTCAGGCCAAGTGTTTAGTGACGCAGTACATCAGGTCGAGGCTCAAGCGTGCTGGCCTCTTACACAAGAAGTTGGGGCTACAGAGACTACGGTCTGTCGCTAATCTCGCTGGGGGCTGGGAGGTCTGTGAGGTGAGCTGTGAGGGACTGACCGGGGGCTTAATGCCTTACAACTAAAATCGCTCAACCTAATTCTCTCTCTCAACTGTGTCTCACCTGTCATTAATATCTGTTCTCTTCCTTACAACTATAGTATCTCTCACCTTTGTCTCACCTGTCATTAATACCTGTTCTCTTCCTCACAACTAAGATCTCTCTCCCTCACCTGTGTCTCACCTATCATTAATACCTGTCCTCTTCCTCATAACTAAAATCTCTTTCCCTCACCTGTGTCTCACCTGTCATTAATACCTGTCCCCTTTCCCCTCAACCCCTCTACAGGTGTTCCCGCGGGTATCGGGTATCGGTCAGGAGCTGGAGAGGACCTACCCGAAACTATATGCTTCTGTGGCCCGTCAACTATCTATCACCCTCACTTCCGACAAGGTGGGTACTTTCCTTCATTCTCTCACCTTTCTTCTTTCCCTCACCTGATTCTCTTCATTCTCTCTCTCTCTCTCCCTCCTTCCCTCACTTCTCACCTCCCCTTATGACCCTCATCTTCACTCTCCCAACACTCCTTTTATCCCCCTCTCTCCCACCCCCCCCCCTTCCCTCATCTCCTCTCCACTTATTTCTCCCTCTTCCTCTCCCTCCCCTTCCTTTTATCTCTTCTCAACCTTCCTTTACCTCATTCTGTTTGCATCACTGCCGCCGCCACCGCGTTGTGTCAGTCTTTGTTGACAAGTGCCCCTTCTCCTACCGTCTACCTCACCTCGCGCCCTCTGCCTCACCTCGCACCCTCTGCCTCTCCCCACACACACTGCTTCTCCCCACACCCTCTGCCCCACCTCGCATCATTCCATATTCATAGTCGCCGCATCCCATACCTCTCCTGCGGCACCTCCCCTTCCCTCTTCTTCTCTTGCTGCACCTAGCCATACATCCTCCCGCAGCCTATGTCAGACCTCGTACATCACCTGTGGTACTTCCTCCTCCCTCTTCTCTTGCCGCAGACAAACAGCCGCTGTTTGTTTTGCCCAATACACCTGAGACCGACCACACACCTTAATTACAGTTTTGTGTGTGTGTGTGTGTGAGCGAAAGAGAGAGCAGGTTTTTCTTGAATGGAATTTATTAGGGAGACTTTCGATTAGCAATTAACTGACTATAGACTGTACATTATATACCTGCACTATCTATCTATCCACATAAGGGCCTACGGACGGACGGACAGACAGACAGACGCATCATCTGTACTGGTCATGTTACCAGCTATTTATACAACGTGAGGTTGTGAGGTGTTTGTGACCAACAGGTGGAGGGGGGACTGATAGGGGTGGAGGGGAGGGGACTGGGGGTTGAAAGGGGACTGTGGGGTGCATGGGAAGGGGAATTGGGGGGGGGTGGAGGGGAGAATGTGGGTGTGGAAGGGGACTGAGAGGGGTGAGGGGAGGGAGGGTCGCTAATGAATGCTAGCTGCTCATAGTGAAACAACAACCCCCTTAAAAAATCATATATATATATTTTAGACTAATTGTTATGTTTTGTGTTGTCAGTGTCACCTAACCTTTCCCAGACAATGCCAGTGTTATCGGATATGTTATTTATAATTATGATCAGAAAGAAAGGTTTCTGTGTGTCTGTGTGTGTGTGTGTGTGTGTGGTTAGTGTCTCTCTTCTATTCTCTATCCCTTCATCTTCCTTCCCTCTCCCCACCCACTATCCCTCACTCCCACCCCACCATCCCTCACTCCCCACCCCACCATCCCTCAATTAACACTCCCTCCTCCTACAGGTGGTGAGGTCAGTGATGGTACAGGTAGCAGGTCATGTCTTCAGGGCGGAGGTCACCTGGGCTAGAATCATCTCCCTCTTCGCTGTCGCCGCCGGTCTCGCCTCCGACTGTGTCAAACAAGGTCAGTGTGTGTGTGTGTGTGCTTGAATGTGCGTGTATGTATGAATGTACACTACCCACAGTTGACTCAGGCCAGCCACAACCCACTGGACTGCATTACAACAACTCTGAAGCAATCGAGGCTGACAGGTGGGGGGGGAGGTGGTTAGGTGTTATAGTTTATGGTGATTCGACTACCAGGGTTATTAAGTATATATACAGGTACAGTACGTGTGTGTATGGTTAAGCGTCATGACCCTCACCAAACAAGGGACAACAACTACTGTCTAGGAAGCCGTATATATAATTTCAACAATATGATTAAAAAAAAACACGAATTACTTTTATTTAACAACAGAACCCAATACAAAGCCTTCACCACCGCGTCAATCATTATATAATAAATATTTACCTTTGATGATTTGGTCCCTGGTGCAAAAAAAAAATACAAAATAAAAATAAATAAAAATACTAATTGAAATGGCACCTGTGTTATTTACCAGGAGTGAAAAAAGGTGTAATAAGAGTAGCAGTAGTTTGTGTCATCTCTTGTGTTGGTATTTATTGTTATTTATGGTTATTGGCAACATAGGTGGTGGTATGGGTAGGTGGGTGGTGGTGGTGGTAGGTAGTGGTAGGTGGTGGTGGTAGGTGGTGGTGGTAGGTAGTGGTAGGTGGTGGTGGTAGGTGGTGGTGGTGGTGGTAGGTGGTGGTGGTAGGTAGTGGTAGTCAACAGTCGAGTTAACATTAATAATACTCGGCCATCTAGCGGCGACAGGTGGAATTAATTAATCTCTTGATGTCATTCAACTTTTTTTTTTAATTATCATTTCGCAATTTTATTTAGGACGAGTAGTATTTCTATCAGTAAAAAACAATAATTTCGATTAGTAGTTATTTGTAAATAACTTTAAATACGTTGTGTTGCTAGGGACTTGAATGACGTCACAGAGACCCTAGCAACGGCCGCCGCACCGCCAACCCTGCAACGGAGACTGATTGCATGAATAATAATCCTTTAAATCTGATACACCATAATTGGACCTTAGAAATATACGAAAAGGTGAAACAACGACCTGAGGCAGTGTTTGGATCCATCTATTCATTCTATTGTTATTTGTCTGGGGCGCGGCGAGGCTCTCAAGTCAACTCAGCTGCATAATGGGAAGTGAACAAGGGAGTGTGTTAGCCATATTGTTTCCTTGTGTATTAAAGCTGGCCAAGTTACCATTATCAACACCCAGTCTTTAACGCTCCTCGCTCGAAGCATACAAAGTGTTTGGGTCTTGCATATTAAAAGATAAATAGAAGATTATACAGTTGTAAATCTTAGTGTCTCGTAAATAAGTAAAGTAATGATAATAGTGTGTGTGTGTGTGTGTGTGTGTGTGTGTGTGTTCTTACCATGGCAACACTGGGTCAAATTTAGCATTACTAGGGCCAAAAAGTTTCTCGTTTTAGACCTTGTTGCATATAGATTAAACCTGCCCGTTCTTGAGTTATTTTGAGGGACGTACATACATACAGACAGACAGACAGAAGACGAGGCCAAAAATAATACCCTGCCCCACAGTTACAAGCAGACTAGTAATAATAATGACGATAATAATAATAATAATAAGAAGAAAAAGAAGAACAACAACAACAACATAGAAACCAAAGAACAGTAATAAACAAGCATCTCATATATTCCTCCACACACACACACACACACACACACACACACACACACGTCCATGCATCTCATCTCCAATGTTTAAGGAGCACAATACAATTTATTTATTTATTTATTTTTTGTTGTGGCGTCAAGAGGCAAAAACACTGGAGAAAATGTGGTAGTGGAGTGTGACTTGCCTGGAGTCGAGGAGGACGTAACGTGGGACTTGATGGAGGGTGAGGGGTGAGGTGAGGTAAGGATGGGACGGAGAGATGGGAGGAAGGGGGGAGGTAGGATGAGGAAGAAAAGGGGGGTGAAGGAGGGAGAAGAGATTAGGAGGATGGGGTTGAGGTAAGGTGAGAGAGATGGGGTGAGGAGATGGGGTTGAGGAGGGTGAGGGAGATGGGGTTGAGGTAAGGGTGAGGAGAGAGATGGGTTGAGGTGAGGGAGATGGGGTTGAGGTATGGGTGAGGAGAGATGGGGTTGAGGAGAGATGGGGTTGAGGTAATTGAGGAGAGATGGGGTTGAGGTAAGGGTGGGGAGAGATGGGGAGGATGGGTGAGGTTGAGGTAAGGGTGAGGGAGAGATGAGGAGAGGAGAGATGGGGTTGAGGTATGGGTGAGGAGAGATGGGTTGAAGGTTTGAGGGGGTGAGGGAGATGGGGGGTGAGGTGAGGTGGGGTGAGGAGAGAGATGGGGTTGAGGTAGGGTGAGGAGAGATGGGGTTGAGGTAAGGGTGAGGGAGAGATGGGGTTAAGGTATGGGTGAGGGAGAGATGGGTTGAGGCATGGGTGAGGGAGAGATGGGGTTGAGGTAAGGGTGAGGGAGAGATGGAGGTAAGGGTGAGGGAGAGATGGGGTTGAGGGGAGATGGGAGAGTGAAGTAGGGATGGGAAGGAAGAGTGAGGGAGAGGTGAGGTGAGGGAGGAGGGTGGCCCTTGTACCTGAGGGTGTAGTGTACCTCCTCCTCCTCCTCCTCCTCCTCCTCCTCCTATTCCCCTGCCCTCCTCCTCCTCCTCCTCCTCACTGCCCTTGCTGACTATTCGCTAAATTGAGGCAAATTGCTTCGACCTTCTCCCTCTCCTCCTCTTCTTTATTCTATCTCCTCCCTTCAGTCATCTTTTCTCCCCTCCTCTCTCTACCCTCCTTTCCAATACTCCTACTTCTCTCCTTTCCTCTTCTTCCTCCTCCTCCTCTTACTTCCCCATCCTCCTTCCAATTCTTCTCCTCCTCCCTCTCTTCCTCTCCCTCTCCGCCTCCTCCTCCACCTCCTTCTCCTCCCTCTCTTCCTCTTCCTCCTCCCCTCTTCTTCTTCCCCTCCTCCGTTACACGAAGGAAGTCTTGCAGAAGCCACATCCGGCCTCTTGGCTCAAGTGTCCAGGTGGAGGAGATGGTGTGACCGTCACCTGATGGTCTGCTTCTCCCCACCACTCCTCTCTCCAACACTACCATCTCCTCCCTCACTCCTTCCCCCAACACTACCATCTCATCCTCCTTCTCCTACATCACCATTACCACCACCACCACCACTCCTCCCTCACTCCTCTCTCCAACACTACCACTTCCTCCTCCTACATCACCACCATTCCTCCAGCACTTCCTTCCCTTTTCTCGTCATCTCTCTCTCTCTCTCTCTCTCTCTCTCTCTCTCTCTCTCTCTCTCTCTCTCTCTCTCTCTCTCATTCACACAATCGCTAAATATAAAAATAAGCAATAGACGGATAAATAGCGAGGCGGAAAAATTTAAAGTGAACACAATTTTTATTTATTTTTCATCTCGAGTCCTGAAATATGTAGAAGGACAAATAACCAAAATGAACACTGTTTTATGTATTTTTCATTTCACTTCAGTAGTAATATTTGAGGAGAAAACATGGTTCATTAAAAACTAACTTAAAGTTGTTTTTTGGTACTACTACTACTACTACTACTACTACTACTACTACTACTACTACTACTACTACTACTACTAATAATAATAATAATAATAATAATAATAATCTTAATTCACAAACTCTGGAAGCCATTAGGGAAACTTATTAAAAAATTTATATGTACCATTTTCTCTGGGGCCTGTTGGACCTAAGTTACCCTGTTGAAGAGTCTAAGTTTTGGCTGAGGTTTGAAGGAGACTCAAGTTTTAATATAAAGAAAAAAAATGGAAGAAAAGTTTATTAGTCAACAATCTTTTGGACATTAGTGAGTGTATTGCCTTTTGAATAACAACAACAACAACGAGAGCAAAAACAAAATAAAATCAATAACTAAAATAACAATAAAACAACATAAAAACAACAACAGCAAAACAACAAGAAGTTAAACCATCGTTCTCAAAGGGTTAAACCATAGTTCTCAAAGGGTTAAGCCATCGTCCTCAAAGGGTTAAACCATCGTTCTCAAAGGGTTAAACCACAGTCCTCAAAGGGTTAAATCATCGTCCTCAAAGGGTTAAACCATAGTTTTCAAAGGGTTAAACCACAGTCCTCAAAGGGTTAAATCATCGTTCTCAAAGGGTTAAACCACAGTCCTCAAAGGGTTAAACCACAGTCCTCAAAGGGTTAAACCACAGTCCTCAAAGGGTTAAACCACAGTCCTCAAAGGGTTAAATCATCGTCCTCAAAGGGTTAAACCACAGTCCTCAAAGGGTTAAACCACAGTCCTCAAAGGGTTAAACCACAGTCCTCAAAGGGTTAAACCACAGTCCTCAAAGGGTTAAACCATCGTCCTCAAAGGGTTAAACCACAGTCCTCAAAGGGTTAAACCATCGTCCTCAAAGGGTTAAGCCACAGTCCTCAAAGGGTTAAACCACAGTCCTCAAAGGGTTAAACCATTGTCATCAAAGGGTTAAACCACAGTCCTCAAAGGGTTAAATCATCGTCCTCAAAGGGTTAAACCACAGTCCTCAAAGGGTTAAGTCTGTGGTTTGTGGTTAACTCAGGGGGTATGGTTCTCCGCCACGATCTTATACCAATTACTACACCTCCTACCTGTTAATTCACCTGATGACCGCTGCTGCCACATATAGTATACACGCTCATGTTTTGGTGTGGGTGTGTGGTAGTAGATATGGATAGGTGTGTTAGTGGGTGGATGAGAGTGGATAAGTGTATGAGTACGCTTAAATAGATGGATGCATGGAGTGGATGAGGGTCGATGAATGAGTGGATGGGTGGCTGCACTCTTAATAGATATACGCGGGTGGATGACGGTGTAGAAAGATTTAGAAAGATTTGTGTGTGGATGATGAGTATAGATGGACAGATGGATGAAAATAGACGGATGATAAACTAAACATTTGGATGACCTAAAAAATCTACCTAAACACACACATACAGTATATATATATATATATATATATATATATATATATATATATATATATATATATATATATATATATATATATATATATATATATATATATATATATTTGACCTTAATAAACTAACATGTTAAATAAATATTCCATAATCAATGTTAATTTTAACCATACGCTGTTAATTCACGTATAGTAATCTTGTTAGATTTAAATTAACACAGTTTTGTGAACATGAAAATGACCATATGATTTTAATACCATTTTATTTTTAACATGTAACAGAAATTTGGTTTATTTTGTAGTTTTAGTGTGTGTGTGTGTGTGTGTGTGTGTGTGTGTGTGTGTGTGTGTGTGTGTGTGTGTGTGTGTGTGTGTGTGTGTGTGTTGACTGGGTACACGACCAGACACACAGACAAACACTCCACCAATCAAACCCAGTTGGTCAATACCTCTTACCGAGAGAGAGAGAGAGGGAGAGAGAGAGTCTTGAGGGGAAAGTCTTTATTTAATTCACATAGAACTAACTTATTGTACTTACGCTGGTGGTTGTAGTAGTGGTAGTGGGAAGGGTGGTGGTAGATTGTGGTAGAGGTAAGGGTGATTCTGATAGTGTGGTGATTGTGGTAGAGGTAGGAGTGTTTGTGGTAGAGGTAGGTGGTGTTTGTGGTAGTGATGGTTGTGGTGGTAGTGGTGAGGCAGTGAGGTGAGAAGCATTCATCGTCTGCAGCTGCTGGTTGTGGTTGTGGTGAGTGTTGGTTGTAGGTAAGGTAGTGGTTGTGGAGTGTGGTTTGCTAGTGAAAAAGATGATTATTATTATTATGATTATTATTACTGGTATTATTATCATCATCATCATCATCATCATCATCATCATCATCCTCATCATCATCACTACCCGTTATAGAACACATATTACTGTCAGTATAGTTATCTGGTGTTGTTGGCAGGACACCCCGAGTACGTGGCTGGAGTGATCGAAGTGGTGGGCCTGGTGACTGAGAGGCATACAGCTCCTTGGATAGCTTCTCAGGGCGGCTGGGTGAGTACAGAACTGAATTGTGTATTTTTTATGTATTTACACACATATACACACATACATACATACAGTAAGTGTCAGGCCAAACGTAGTGTCGATGATGACCTACCCGCCTCAAGATAAACACAAACACACACACACACACACACACACACACACACACACGGAGACTAATTGTATTCTCGTGGTGTACTGCAGGAAGTTTTGCTTAGTGGCTTTCGTGTTTGTGATTCTGATCTTCTTTTTCTTCTTATTCTTCTTCCATTTCAAGTCCTCTTCAGCCTCCTCCTCTCACTTCCCCTTCCCCCTATCTTCCTCCATTACATAATCAACCTAACACAAAACATACAAGTTAATATCCATACAAGGTAAAAAAAAAAATAATAATAACTTAAATTAATGGATCATATCTACAAAATTAATTATCCCGGAATTAAGCTCAGATACTGTATCTACCTAATCATTGAAATAAAAAACTTACATGTTAATAAATAGTGTAGCTTAATGAGGAAAGATATAATTAATAATAAAAAATTAAAATATTGTTACGACGCCTCCCCCCCACCCTCGAGGTGTGGTGAGGATGTTGGTACAGACGGACATAAACAGATATAACCTAATTGCTACATTGTCCTCTCTTGATAGTAATGGTGCAGGATGGCCTAATTAGAAATAACAAAAAAATATATACATAATACTGTACATGTTTCCTGTTGGCGTTTTGTGTTTATATTAATAACAACGGTGGTGAGGTGTTGGTTGTGATGGTGAGGGGAAATAGTGTGTTTCTCTATATATGTCTGTTTATATCTGTGTGTGTGTGTGTGTGATCGTTGTCCTTGGAAGTGGTGGGGGAGTGTTGTTATCATGCGTGTGTGTGTGTTGCCGTGTTTGTATTTTTTACAGCTGGTAATGCAGTTTCCTTTGCGTCACGTCTTCCACCGACCACTGCACGCCACGCACTGAACTGGTCCCCTGTTGTGTCCTGAATACTGTATATACAAGAGGTATGCGTCTCTCATTGGCTAATTTCACTAACCAATGAGAGACGACCCTCAACCAAAATAATATATAGGGCACGAGAGGAAAAAACCGTATAACACAAAAAAAAAAGAAAATGGTTATTACTGTAAATGAAAAAGAATTTGTTATGCCAAGTTTATTTTGATTATAACTCGTCTCTCATTGGTTAACGTATCAGCCAATCAGAAGCTTTCGATTCCACCAATGCATATCTATTGTTTACATATACACAGCAACAAGGAACCAGTTTTTATCTATTATTAACTTTGGTTTTAATTAAAGAAAAACAAAAAAATTATAAATACATTTGTAGGTGAGGAGAACTAAGATGCTAATGAAGAGAAAGTAGATAGAGATAAGTTATTTGTAGAGTAGTGAGGGAGGGATGGAGGGTGTGATGGAAAGGGGGGGAGTGTGACGGAGGGAAGAGAGGAGAGTGACATAGGGAAGGAGAAGAAAAGAGAGATAGGTGGAGGGGGAAGGAGAGATAGTGTAATATGGAGATGAGAGGGAGGAGTGTTGGTGAGAGGGAGGGAGGAGAGTGTTGGTGAGCGAGGGAGGAGGGTGTTGGTGAGAGGGAGGGAGGGAGTGTTGGTGAGAGCGAGGGAGGAGGGGCGTTGGAGAGAGTAGGGTGGGAGGGGGGGAGGGTTGGTGAGAGCAGGAGGAGGAGTGTTGGTGAGAGCGAGAGAGGGAGGGAGGGAGGGAGCGTTGGAGAGAGTGAGGGTGGGAGGGAGGGAGTGTTGGTGAGAGCGAGAGAGGGAGGGAGGGAGTGGTGCGAATTGACGTAAACGGTATAATGAATGACGTGTATGTAAGGAAATGACTTGACTCCAGTGTATGTACAGTGACTCCATGTAAGTATGTGTACAGTAACTGCATGTGTGAGTACAGTGACTCCGTATGTGTACAGTGACGCCACATAATTGCCCTGTACTGTACATGTTAATTCAATGCACCACGGCCATTGTACCTGGAATTAGTAATTGGTTACAGGTAAGGAAGTGCAACAACCTGTAGTGTCATGCCTTCTGTTAATTGTGTGTGTGTGTGTGTGTGTGTGTGTGTGTGTGTTAGGATCAAAATACACATAGATTTAAATTACAGAAGGCTCACATGTGTCTGTGTATGTGAGAAGGTGGCTGTACACATGTATGTATATGTATGTATGTACGTATTCTTATTGGCTGCCTTCCTTACTCGTGTCAGTGCCAATTTAGCCAGCTGGGTGGACATCGAGTACCGGGTGAAGGGTCTTTTCAACATAAGACGACTCCAGGCAAGAACGAAGGTGTCGGCAGCTTCCATTACTGAACTTCAGTATGCAGACAACCTCACCCTTGTTGCTCACACTGAACACGACCTACAGGAGATCCTGAACACCTACGCAGACGCGTATGCACACTTCGGCCTTGTGGTGAATGTACGTAAGACTCAGATTCTCTTTCAGCCTGTCCCTGGTTCACACACACACCTCCACCATCCATCCACCTTAACGGTACTACCCTCTCTAATGTTGACCACTTTCGGTATCTCGGCTCCCACCTGTCCACCACCGCAAACATCGATGAAGAGATTCTTCATCGGATCAGATGTGCATCTTCAACCTTGGTCGGACTCCGAAATCGTGTCTTCAGCTGTAGGGAGCTGAAATTATCCACAAAGCTGCACGTATATCGAGCAGTGGTCCTCCCCACCCTACTATATGGCAGTGAGACATGGGTCACTTACAGGAGGCACCTCAAGGCACTTGAAAACTTTCACCAACGTAGTCTACGTTCCATCCTCCGAGTTCGCTGGGAAGACTAGAGAACAAATGCCAGTATTCTCGCTGACACCAACTGTAGAAGCATCGAGGCTACCATTATCCATGAACAACTACGTTGGACTGGCCATGTTACCCGCATGGACGACAGTAGACTGCCAAAGCAGCTACTTTCCAGTCACCTAACGAATAGTAAACGTAACGCTGGCGGGCAACTGAAAAGGTATAAGGAGAGTCTTAAGACAAACCTGAAAAAGTGCCAAATCGACCCCCTCACCTGGGAGTTGATTACTCCACACCATAACGCTTGGAGAAGCACCACACGAGAAGGTGTCAATACTTTCGAGTTAACCCGACTTCAAACCGAGGCGGATAAGCGCCAACGTCGGAAAGACGCTGCCACCGCCCCTCCCACAGTAGATGGAGCCCTCCACATGTGCAACGAATGTGGACGACGCTGCGGGTCCCGTATCGGTCTCTTTAGTCACCTCAAAACTCACTAACCTAGGTGACAACCCAAATAACTCATATCATTGTATCATAGCTGGATGATCGTCATACTCGATTCCGAGTGACAGCAAAGTAGTAGTAGTACGTATTTTGTTTTTATGTATGTATGTGTGCGTGTGTTTAATAAGATAAGCACCACCTCCTGTGTTTCCCCGGGTGTTAATTGTGTAGTTAGCGCTGAACGACACACGCACAGCACAGTCGTTTGTCTTAATTACCTCACGGGGAGGAGCGGAAGAGGACAGGTGGGTGGAGATGAGGGTGGTGGTGGATGGCGTGTGGGTGGTGGTGGATGACGTGTGGGTGGTGGTGGATGGCGTGTGGGTGGTGGTGATGGTGGTGGTAGGTAGTAGTGGTGGTGGATGGCGTGTGGGTGGTGGTGGATGGCGTGTGGGTGGTAGTGATGGTGGTGGTAGTGCTGTGGGTATTTTTCGTCAAATTTACACACACAGGACTTTATTATTTATTTTTGTATTTATTTATTTGTCTACATGTACACTGCAATTTCTTCCCCTCTCCTGCTTCCTACATCTGTTGACTCTTATGTATTTTATTCTCTTTTCGCGTATCTCAATTCCAGGGTTATTAATTTAACTGTTTATATTAACTTTTTTTTTAATTCTCTTCCTTTTTTTTTGGAGGGGGGAGGTACATTTTTCTGGGTTTGTTTATTTGGTATTTTTATTAATTCTCGTTTTATGTTTATTCTGAGTGTTGTTTCTTTTCTTTCATTAATTCTCGTTCTGTTTATTTTCTCGTTCTTTGTTTTTATTATTTCTTATTGCATTGTCCACTGAACGAGTGTTACCCAAACAGTGTTACCAGTATGTGGGTGGTGGTTTAACCCGCCCATACTGTGTTACCAATGAAGGAATCCCAGAAACTCTCTAGCGGAGGCCACCCAAACAGTGTTACCAGTATGTGTGTGGCAGAGAGACAGACACTTACCCAAATGGACTAAAATATATTGAAATGGAAGTAAAGGCCAGGGAGGGAGGTAAGGGCTTAATAAGGGCCTGGGGGGAGGGAGGTAAGGGCATTGTAGGAGGGAGGTAAGGGCTAATCATCTCTAACTTGGTGAGGTCTAATATTTGAGACTCTCTTCTTGTTTGACGCATCAACATGATTATCATTTGTGGGTGAACAAGTGTTGGGCCAAGGACGAGTGGGAGAGGGAGGAGAAGGGAGAGGGAGGGGGGATGGAGGTGGGGAGAGAGGGAGAGATGAAGGGAAGGAGGGAGTAGGGGGATGGGAGAGAGAGAGAGAGAGATTACAGTGTCATTACAGCTAGCATGTAAAGAGAGGAAACATTTGACTGGCTTACGTAAGACAAGCCAGCAATGATGGTGAACTTGCTATGAAACAGACAGACAGAAACCACCAACCACACACACACACAGACCCTCACCAATCATGCCAAACAGATAGACAGGGAGGGAGGGAGACAGACAGATAGACAGGAAGGGAGGGAGACAGATAGACAGGTAGGGAGGCAGACAGACAGATCAGATAGACAGGGAGGGAGGGAGGGAGACAGACACACTATAATGTAAGAGAAAGGCGGAAGGTTGAGTCCCACACTTCTCTGTTGTGTTTTACGACCTCGTGTGACCCCGTGCCATCCGCCCACCCATCCACTCCTATCCATCCACCCACTCATCCACCCACCCATCCACTCCTATCCATCCATCCACTAATCCATCTATCC